GGATGCATCTGCGCCACTGAGAACGATTTTGAGCCATGTCACCAATTGTTTCCAACCATAGATTTTTACCGTCCCGAGGACCCCAGCCTGGAAGTCTACACCTTCCTACGTGGCTTAGACCAACTGTTGTGGATTTCATTGACTGATGCCAAGTTTTTGTTTGACCGCAGCTAGCTTTTTTCCAGTCTGACCCTATATCCGCTAACATTGCTCGTCGAGGGAGGCGATGGCTTGGCATACGTAACACATGTCCTAACCATCTCAGTCTTTGTAGCTTCACGACTTCGTCGATTGATTTCCCCTGTTTACCTAGAACTCTACGCCTAACCTCCATGTTGCTCACCTTATTATGCCACTTTACACGGGAAATAGAACGCAGGCACCTATGATCAAAGACAGCTAGTCTTTTCATGTCTTCCACTCTGAGTGGCCAGGTCTCACAACCATAAAGGAGGACGGAGCGGACTGATAAGCAGTACACCCACCCTTTGGTCGATAGTCGAACATCTCGTCTACGCCAGAGTCGGCGTAAACTGGCAAATGCGAAACGAGCCCCCTGTATTCGCACTAGTGAAACCTGTTACTATGTCTAGCTTGGAATTAGTTACTACTGTATTATGTCTTAAAATTGGCAAACATCTGCAACAACAGCTGAGTGTACCAATTTCTTCCACAATTTATTGGACGGGTTCATTAATTATCCTTCATTCTATATAGGATACAACCAAAAGATTTGGAAGGTTTGCAAGCAGTAGACTCTTAGTTATCCACACCCGATCAGTGGGCATACATCGATAGTAGACAGAACCCTGCTGATCATGTCTCAAGCGATCTTCTACTAGATAACGATATTAAGATTAGCGAGTGGCTTTATGGACCAAGATTCCTGATGGATACGGAATAGAATTTGGTTTTATACGCATGAAGATGGAAGTTATGAGTCGAGTAGACTGTGAGAACAAGACTAACTGTTAAATGCATTCAGAGCTTTAGTTCATGGTTCAAGATGCTAAGATTTTTCGCGTTGTGTCAGCATTTCATCCGCAGTGTAGGAATGCGAATGGACAGAAAACCGATAGTTGTCTACAGAATATCGCTAGAGGGCGCCAAGAAAGCCAAGATGCAGATACTTAAGCTGGTAAAGAGTGCTACGTTTCCCAATGATTGCAAGCATTGAGGTTTGTAGGAAACATTCGCAAGAATTATAGGTTTCCAGACCGTAGGTGTTACGGACTTCCTGGAATAATTTGAGCGCCGAGCCAGATACATGCATTATAAATTATTTAAGTTAATCCAAACGTGTTAAACAAATCATAACAAGAATATTACAAGTACTCAGAAGAAAACGATTGGCAGGAGCAGTGAGTCGTTTACATCATATGCGATCGGCCTGCAAAGTCATTAAGAAGGGCGTTGTCCAATAAATAAACTCAGTCCTCTTGTAATGGATGACATCATCCGAGTAGGAGGTCGTCTACAGTTGTCTTGCGTATCTTTTGACGGTAAACACCTAATCATACTGTAACAGCAGAAGGTAAGACACGGAAGCAAAGGTATATTTTCAGTTGATCAAACTGCCATTTATATCTATACGGTTAATATTCTTTAACCAATCACTGAGAGTGTGATTTTAATTTACATTAGACAAGATGAAATAAAATGCTCAAATGTATATAGTATTCTGACTCCTTTCTGTGTACTTTGTCTAGGTTTGCTGGAAGAAGGGGATTCGTGAAGCACATATCACGTGACAACGGATCTAACTTCAAGGGAGCTGATGCTAGCTTGAAGCAGGCTGTTAGAAGTTGGGATCAGAATAAAATAGCGAAAAAATCTTCTAGAGAGAGGATGCGAGTGGCATTTCAATCCACTAGAGCTAGTCATCGTGGCCCTCACAATCCGAAATGCACACGAGACAGTCATCGTGGCGGTGCGTCATTAGACCTGTCAGAAGAATCTTGTGGATATTGTCGTTTTCGAAAATAGTCACGGATGAGACACTGGAAACATTTCTCGTGGAGTCAGAAAGGATTTTAAACAGTCGATCGCTGGTAAAGTCAACAGTAAATAGTGAAGACTCATACGTGCTAACACCAAATAAATTATTGTTCCATCATAAACAACTGGCTTCCGAAGGCAGTAGAATAAAAGATGGAAAGAAACGCGGCATTTGACCGATTTGTTTTGAAGTAAGTAGCTCTATGAATACCTTCTAATGCTGCAGGCCAATCGAAATAGTAATGTATGACGAGAAAGCTACAGTCCGATGGTCTTGTCTTAGTTAGCAGTACTGGCACTCCAAGAGATCTGTGGTCAAAGGCTATAGATAAGTCTAGTCCTATAAAGTAGCAGCTTTTGCTTTCTATCTATAATTCCAAGTCAATCTGAAGAATTATGATCAGCCAGATGATTTCGGAACTTATAATTGATTTTGTTTAGGATGTGCACAGTTGAACGAAGAATCCACTAAGTAAAATGAAATCCTATTATCCTGACTATAAATAATTTCGTTCCTCCTTTATTCGAAAATGTAAATTTCCCCCCCCCCTAACTCAACCCTAACCTCAATCTATCTGTAATGTCTCCCTAACTAGGCTATCTTAACCCTAATCTTTTTCTAACCTAAAGCTGATTTTACCTTGCTGTCTGACTGTCAGTATGCGTCAAGATCATTGGTATGCTGTGTTCACGACATTGGGGTATCTCTAAGGTTTAACTTCAACCTATCTCCTCCTCACACCTTTCCGTTCATGATGGCTCTATTGGAATTTTGTTTTCGCTTCTACCATTTTTGTGTGCTATATGGAGTGTGATAAAACATGAACTGCTACTAGTGCACTTCACTATGCAAAGATTTGCAGCAGCGTGTAATTCCACTAACCCTTGCAAGTGGTGAATCGCTTGAAGTTGTCGATAAGTTTGTGTATCTAGGTAGTGGTGCGCTCTGTGACAAACGGGAGCTGTAACAGTTCCCTGAAAGTTATGTTTGAATGGGGAGATTTGGGCCAATTGTCGTCGTCACTGCGTCAATATGGCTGTCAGTGTTGGGGTTTGCAATGCGACAGTCGTCGTCTACATACCTGCGGAATCTGGCTTCTCTGGGTGGGTTGAACGTATTCGGCAACTCTACCAAATAGATCATAGCCAAGGTCATGGAATTGCTTGAATCCGATTCCATTGTCTAGTAAGTAATTTCGAGGTCCGGCAGCGTGTGTCAGGACACAGTGGAGATCACTCTTTGATTGTCGTAGTCATCTGGAAACACTGGCTTCGGTGGCTCGGAAATGTATGTGCTATGATCGTCATCCTACACACTCCCGTACCACTCTCGGTTAGATTGCCCTTGGAATGGATGGAAACAGTAGAGAGGTGGTCAGCCTAAGATGCCGCGTTGCGGGATGAAGTATATTGGTATCAGGTTAGCGTCATCATTTGGTGCATCACGACTCCGTGGTTGGAGTCCGAGATATAATTCGAATGGATGGCTGTCTCGTAACATTATCACATATGATGAAGAATCACAATCAGTGGCTGCAGTTTGCTTCCTTTCTGGATCAATTCCTTAATTTATTCTTGGGGCATATAGTGTGTACAAAGTCCTGTATTTCAACTGAATACTACCAAGATCTACGCTGATGACTAACTCAGTCTCTTTATAAGCACATCACATAAAAACAAACATAGAATTGGATTTGACGTATTTTTCCTTCCACGATAATCCCTATCGGTCGACGACTTACAACAGGCAAGCAGTAGAAGGAATCGAAAATTGACAAAAAATGTATGAATGCACACATACCAGTGTAAATGAATTCCGCTAAGTAATTCAGTATAAGCTAATTGAATGTTCATTAATGAGCTTCCCTTATTCTATGTAACCTGAAGGGAGTGAGCAATTGCATCTCCAGAGATGGACGGCTAACTACTTATGCCTCATTCCTTCCAAATAAATTAGAGAAAACATTTTCGGCTAACAAAAAACCACGTAATGTACACATTAGATCATAAGAATTATTAAAAAGATTGTTTTCTGAGAAGAAACCTTCCTTTCCGAAGAAGTAGTCCCCAAATAGGCTGTACATTCGTGTAATTATAAGAACACACTTCCCAGAGTGGTTAACAAAGAGAGAACGCAACGGTGTAAATAGTTTAGTGATATAGCATCTGTAGAATTTAGGACATTCAGATCCATCCGATCTAAAAAGTCCTTCAAAGTCATATACAAGATCCGGTCAAATCTCTTTCTTAGAGGGAGTGATAACAAGGCATCTGGGAATGGCTGAGGCGCCAGCAATCTAAGATTTCAAGCCATGTATTGATCAAAAGAAATACTTCCAGCCGTTGTTGTCCCTACCATGGCCATCATAAACAGTCAATTTTTCTAATAGTCATTATCCTATTACTTCTCTTATCCAATCTCCCTGTTTATTTGTGTTTTTTAGAATTTCTATATGGATTACTGTGTTTTGCATCTGAACTTACTGCCTATTTTGCTAATACTACTTTATTAATCCTTAATTGCATAAACAGTCGAGTTTCTCAGTGATTGTGATCGGCTTTATAATCCTTCAGTACACACAGTCTCCTAATATACACCTGTGAAACCGAACTTCCTATCCATTTTGTTATTACGTCTAATTGCACAAAATAGTCAAGTTTCTCAGTTACTATGATCTTACTGTCTTTTACCCGATCATCCTGTTTATCACACTTTGTAATCTTATTAATTCGACGCTTGACCCCAAACAATTGGGGAACTTGCTCGCCCATTTACTATAAATACACGAGGGAACAAAAAACGCACAGAATTTTTTGTTTATCTCTCCGTAGTTTACAGTTGAAAGAAATTTTTTTTAAAAATCCAGAGCAGAAAAATCAAAGGGCATAAAATCAATAAGTGTTATACAAGATAAATAAACAGGCGGGTGGACAAACAAACACACGCGCACAAACAAATATTCTCGTTTAACTGTTAATCATTAAAACTTTTCTTCTACTAACTACGTTTTTGTCGTTGTTCGTCTAGATGTCACCGTTGCTGTTCCACCAGAAGAACTTGAAGCGCTACTGATAGCAGTATTAGTCCCACTGCTGTAGTGGTAGTGACTTGATCCTTCTGAATTCGCCGCATTACTACCATTACTACTGGCACAACTACTACCACCGTTATTTTGACGTGATTTTTCACCAGATTTACGTTTACTCGTCGATGACTTCTTATTGTTGCTTGCACCGATCCCACTACCACCGAATAACGATAGGGAGGAGAGAAACTGTGAACATTAGAAAAACAAATTGAAAAAAAAGCATTTTGAGAGGTTTGATCGGATCTTGGAGAGCAATTTTTTCAAAAGGGTTTCTAAGAAAAAATGTAGCTGAGTCTCGTGGGTCCATCAAATACAAAACTTTCACATGTGTGTGTTACCTTCACTAACCACTAGGCTGTGATGATGTTCTCACCAGTACGTTTGTTTTTCGGTAAGCGGAGGCATGTTATCGATTACAGTCTGTCAGTGCAGTGTTCAGCTTAACAGGAGTTAAGGATGTTAACTCATTTATACACAATGTAATGATGTCGCACCAATGACTAATTGTGCTCAGATGTATGCCTATGGATGACTAAAGTCAGAAAATGTGAATGATTCTGCATAGAAAGTAAATTCATCTTCAGCTGCGAAGATAGTCTTTTTGTTCAGCGAAGACGGAACGGGGAGTTTTCTCTTAGTATTTCTGCCAATGAGTCTGCATTGAGAATTGGAGATTCAGATAAACTTTTCTGTTGAGGGAGAGTGCAAGCAGAAAGTGTACACAATTTTAGTGTTGTTGGATTTCATGGAACTTTGCTACGATGAAGCGGCGTTCGGACTTTACAACTTTCAATGAGAACCTGCCCTTATCCCACCCTACTTACTCTTCCAGGTCCTTTTCCACAGTGTTTCAGGGATGGAAATGTGACAGTGGATTCTGTGCGTAAACAAGTGAATCAGGTTTATTTTTGTATATAAAGACATCCAACTGTATATGACTGTATGTTGTCCATTACATGTCGGTCTTCTGTGGATGGATCTTTTGTATCGTGTTAACTGAATATCCAGGAAGAATAATTTTCGGGTTAGACTTTTTCCCTAGCATTAATTGAATGACATACTGAAATCCACTGGAGAAATCAAGAATACCTTCAAAATTCTCTCTTCACTATTGTAGTCAATGAAAGTATCATCTAGGTATCTCTCGCTTTTAAAACCCAAAGGTATCGAATAACGTTGAGAAATCCACAGCGGATCTTATACGCCAGATTAAGCCGTTTCTAGGTGAGTCTAAATGATTTAATTTAATGCTCAAAACTAATAACCCCAGTAGGATGTATGGTGTTGTTAAAGTTCATAAGTCAAGATACCCTATTAGACCTATAGTTGATTTTAGAAAAAATTCACCTACTTATGAACTATATAAGTATTTAGCCATGGTATTAAACTCCCCTTAAAAGACACTCAAAAGCTTGACTAACAAATTCTTATGAACTAAAACATAGATTAAATAATTTAAAATTTAATAATGAAGAAAAAATGCTTAGTTTTGACATTGTCAGTTTATATACACGTATGCCAATAAATATGGCTATAGAGGCAGTCAGACACGAACTCATTTCTGACCAAGAACTCGAACTTAGGACAAAAGTGCCAATTGAGGACATAATGCTGGAGTGCAGCTTGCCTGACTTCCACAGTATTTAAATTCCAAGGGAAAATATACAAACAAACTGAGGGAGTTGCCATGGGATCCCCAATATCCCCAGTTGTAGCAGATATATTCATGGATAGGTGGGAAAGCATAGCTGTTGAAACGTTCACCCCCACCACAAAAGTATGGTGGAGGTATGTAGATGACACATTTACTGTACTCAAGACACAAGATATAGATAGATTTTTCGAGCACATCAACTCGAAGGGAGAGGCAATTCAATTCACTAATGAATTGGAAAAGTTATACAGGGGAGCATTGGATGTTAGATTAAAGCGTAAAAAGGAAAAAAGATGAGAAGTTAAACACTAGTGTTTACACAAAACCCACACATTCAAACTGATATTTGGATTTCGGATCGTACCCAAACAATAAGTCGGTAAAAGTAGGATTGGTGAAATCTTTACGTAATAGAGCACAAAAACTAAATAGTATAAGGAAGTGAGGCATATAAGATAAGCTTTGAAACTTAATAATTACCCTGCTAATTTAAAAAAAAAGAAGTATGTAGGAAAATGTTAAAATAAAATTAACAATAATAGTGTGGTGTTGTGATACAGACAATGGGTTCTAACGGAATATTTTTCTCACAATAAGAATCATTGTATTTGATGGTGTTAACGACTGAATACTTTTTTCAACAGTTCAATACGGAATTAGCAAAATAATGCTAAATGTACTTGAACCTTCGACTTCATGTTGTTTAATGTAAACCGAAATTACACTGTCAGTGATTACTTAAAGAATATAAACTGTATAGATAAGAAATGCCACCTTAATCACTTGAAAATATATCTTGGCTTTTGTGGCTTGCCTTCTGATGTTACAATTGTAGTGATTGTGATAATAATAATAATAATAACGACATGTATGTCGAATATTCACAGAATGACGCAACGTCACCTACCATAGGGAATATAAATCATCACTAGTGCTTCCATACAAACAAGAAACCTCGGAAACCTCACAGAGAATTCTTAACAATACAGTCAGGAATAAAAGTCGCTGGCATTCAAATCATCCACAAACTCAATTAGAAACAAGATTTGTTGGTTAAGGCATCCCTGTGGAACCAAATAAACAAAACAATTTTAGTTTAACTAATACTCTGCTGGAATGATTGTCAGGTCAAAATAGTAGAAAGGGGTTAGTCTGTCAGACTAGTGGAGCAGCCCAAAAACCTATCAAAATCTGCATTAGTTGACCCTAATAAGACAACAAAATCTGGAGAATATTTCAACTATAGCACACTTCACATGCAGTCACACAAACTAAAGGATGGGGCAAAATGACAATTCTAAATCTAATATAACAGAGCTGAGGGAGCAGGACTGATAACGGAAGATTTATTAATCATCGAATCAACTGATAGAGAATACGTGGAACAGAACTACAACGAACAGGGAGATATAAAGAAAAGTACAAAACGAAAGTTACGAAGTTGTCTAGAGTAACAATTGATGATATGATTATGAACAACAGTAAATTGTGTTTGAAACGTCATCCAGTAAATAATGATGTTTTACTTTACTTTACTTCGGCTATCTCCTACGGGAGGATGAGCCGGCTTCATGAACGTCTCGAATCATCGCTGCCCAGGCGTGGCAATTTGTAAGAGAGTTCATGTAGTTTCATGGGAATTTGGTACGAGTGATGTCCCCAGCATCGCTCGGCCTTTTGTTTGAGAGTGCAGCTCTAGCCTTTACACAACCAAGTGTGACCTACAAGGCAGTAGGAGTGGAGTAAGGAGTCCACTATCCATTGGCAGCCGGTGACCGGAGTTCGGTTCATACGCCTTTTTGAATGGGGCCAGACATCCAGGACATCCAACAAGCCCTTTGTGCATACGTCTGCCGGTGAGCTCCAGTGAGCTTCATACGCCAGTCGTTGGAGGTTTGGAATCAGGGTTTAGCCATCTCCCCTAGACCGTCATCCAATAGACAGTCAACCCGGTGGAGAGCGCCGGGCATCCGCTTTCGCCCTCTCACTTTGGTGAGAAACACCTCCGCCACGTGAAGGCAGTGAGTAGGACTTCCTCAGGAGAGGCTATGTAAGACGCCCGGTCATATGGGAGCATTTCAAGAGGTGTGCGGAGGGGTGGCCAACCCGCAGCGCAAGACACCCACCCCCGACCATCCTGAGGCTTTGGATGATGTTTCACTCACTGTGTGTGATATATCTCTAATAAACAAACTAATATAGAATTACACACTACCACAGTGCTAACCAAGTTTTATGCATATAATAGCAACAGTGGTAGTAGACGAGGATTGAGAGATAAGGAAGGTTGGACATGAGTGACTGAGAACTCCACGCAACACCCTGTAAAAATACTATCACCATTATTGGGTAATGAGACAACTTTAAACCAAATTATACAGGAAGAAATTGACACAGAAAGTGGGAGGAACAGAGAAGAGAATCAGACGATCACTTACCTCACTCATATCAGGTATCTGCTGTTGAGGATTTAATATATTCATCTGCTGCATTTCTTTTTGTAACTCCGGATCACTAGTGTTGACTAATTTTGTGAGTACCATGACTAATAACAATGGGACTACTACGTAGAGAACATTTGGATTCAATAAGAGATCCAAAGTGCGCAACTGCTCACGAGCCTTTAAAAAGTACATGCATAAAGAAAAGTGAAACATTTAGACACACGAGAGCGTACAAAAGACAGATTTAAAAGATCTATAATGAGCGGAAATGTGTACACCATAGAACACTACTAGTCTCAAACCGTAACTCCTGCTTATCATCCTGAAATCCTTAGCCAGTAACCAGCCAAACTACTCTATACCTACCCAATGACTGTCAATGACTTTGTAGATTCACGACTCAAATGTTACTTTGTAGGTGGGGGATTTGATTGGTTACAGGTTTGAAATCACGAGTTAACATCAGTTAGAAAACCGCTGAGAAACGAGACACACGGAGTACTGGACAGCTGTTTTGTCAGCCTAGGCTGGCACTGACTCTTCAGTGGTACGCACCCACTGGGATTCGGACCCATGATCTACCCTTCCTGTTATAGGGCGACCACTCAGCCACTGGGACCCGACCCAATCAATCACCGATCCATATAACGCAACCACCAGCCATAGTCAGTGGCGAGTGCTTGTCCTCACTCCTGACAACTTGGTGAGCCCCACAATTGTCACGAATACTTACTCGAACGACTCCAGATAAACTCGTTCTGTAACCGGTTACTAGCGAGCATCGGACTAATATTTGGAGGATTTAGTTTATGGGGTTGGGGGAGTATCTGATTTGTTTCAAGTTTAATATCATGGAGTGATAACGGTTGAAGAAGCATTGATGGAAACCACTAGGGACCTAACAGTGGATATTCAAGATATGAGACTCACTCACTGACTATTCAGACATTTGAACGCAGTCCAATAACCCATCAATCCTATAACTCCTATCAATTCGCAATTTTTAAGACCAATATCATTGGCGACGAGTATTCGTTTCCACATCTGACCGACTTGATCGAAATTACACTGGTCACAACTACTTCTCACTAGATCTCCACAGGCAACTTCATTGCATAGTCAGTCACTCATTAACTAGTGACCAACATAATTAATTTTCAAGTATATCAGTTTGCACAGAGGATTCGACTAGTTTCCATTCAAGTAGCTGGTTGAGAACTGTCAATCACAGTTTGCCTAGTGACTTTGAAGGTTCTGGGTTAGGACTGTTAAATAACAGTCCCAAACTAGGCTGACGGAACAGCGATCCAGTATACCCTGTTGGTAGTTTTCAATGGTTCTCCAGTTGTCATATCATATCAATCCGTGATCAAACTTCTGATCTTTCCTGGTCGTCTCATATCTTGACAATTTCTAAGAAAATATACCGTCTTACCTTCTACATCAAGAAGTTAAGACATTCTGGTGTAACCCAACCCTTACTCCTACAATTTGTTAACTCCCGTATTCTGCCTATTATTCTCTATTGCTCCCCCTTAGTCTTTCCTGGGCTATTGAAGAAAGACTATACCTTATTACGTAGGATGTTAAAGGTTGTCAGCAGGGTAAGCAGTTTGCCACTTAGCCAGCTTGTTAATATTCTGGTGGACAGGCATATGGACTCATGTGAAAAATGGGTGAAATCCATTCTATCTGACTCACAACACCCTCTACATTCACAACTCTCCCCATGTATCTCTTCAGGGAAAACAAGAAGCCTATATAGGAAACTATATGCCCGGACTAGTAAGTACAAAAACTCATCCATACCCTACCTAGCTCGAGTTCTGTGCGATAAAGAAAGCGTTAGGCGGGAAACCTTTAACTTATTAAATAGTCAGTAGAACAAGGGGATCTCGTCTTTCCAACTCACATCATTTACAGGTACAACGTTTTCTCCCTATTTTTTTTCCCCTTCTCTATTTATTTTTGTTATGTGCTGTTTTGTTTCTCTCTTCCTTGCAAACTCTACTTGAAACATTCTTGTTCGTTCTTTCACACTCTGTACATCTCGACCAGTTTGCTATCGCTTACGCCAGTAAATATGCTAGTAGTATCTACTTTTCAAACAACTTCAAACACTGTTTAAATTTTGGCTTTGCTACCAACATACTAAATATGTTGTTGAGATAACTTTAAACTATGTAGAACTTTGTTTATTGTTAATGTAAAAAACTGGATGCAATATTGTAGTAAAATGCTGAGAATTCCATTCTGTATCACAAGTACTGATTTGGAATAAAGCTTATCTTATGTTATGTTATGTTGAAACTATAAGTATGACAAATAATTCATCATTTTATGTTACTGTCCTTTTCTGTGTTGTAAAACCAAAGCAAACTGTATTACCTAAATGCAACTGATTGTGCAGTTGAAGAGTGGAAAGTGAATTCGCTGAAAAATAATACACCTATTCGTTAAACACTGCTTGCGCAGATAAAAATTATTCATGTTATTATTAATGTTTCTTTGAGTCCTTGGTGAAGCATAGGGCTTCGACCGGGGGGACATTTCTATTTCATTCTGTTTTTTGCAGTCATCTTTAGTTGGTTCTGAATCTGCTCATCTGGAGTACACACTGCATTTCGCCTTGCTGTCTGCATCTTCAAATTGAAGTATGTGCTGAAGATGTCACCTAGTAGGGTGATGAAAGCTTCGCAAATCAACTATCCAGCTCAGAGAACACAAGAAATGATTATCCACCACTTCTTATCTCCTCCTTCTCCTCACACGACTTCCTCCACTTCACCCTCGAGCGATTCCCTGGAATGAGACGTCAATCAACAGTCTTCTCAGAGTATCCTATCCATTAGTCTCCATTTTCTTTAGAATATTTGTTTAGCAATAGATTCTTTGTTGGTTTGTTCCCAGAGTTTCTTGTTGCTAATTCCTTCTGGCCATATAATCTTCGGTAGAGAGCCAGCGATGCTCCAGTGATGCTCTGGACAAGTTACTTACCCATAAAGAAGAACTGACTGACTGACTGGCTGCTTTTTCTACAATCTTGTTGGCTTTCGTCTGTAGATGTTCCAGTTTGTGCGACAATTAAACTAAAATCGTCTACGTGACGTACAGATGTTCTACAGTCTTCCTATTAGTCGAAAGTGTTTCTGTCTTCTCGCCACATGAGATCCTCAGCCGACTACACTACCACAATCAGAAATAATTATCATCGTCGGTAATAGTATATTTCTTACTAATTTCTGTCTCTATTCCACAGGTAGGCTTCACTAAGCTTTCAGTTATGGACCAACCAACTGACACGTGAGGTGTTGTCATACAGTTGTGGTTGAATGAGGTTGACAAGAATTTGGGCATTGTACGCTATATAAGTACACTTACCTTAAAATAGATGGCTTTCCCAGAGCTAGTAAGATGCAGTGGATAGGGGATCTCTTTGACAGCATTCGGTTGTGGAGCATTCAATTGGCGTGCTCTAATACGACCTTTAGAACTGATATCAACACGGACACCCTATAAGAAGAAGAATAAAAGAAAATGATAAGAATATTGACTTTGCTTTCTCAAGTAGACATAAAATTAACTCATCACGAAAATCACATACTCAATTACAGCAACAATGACAACCCAATAACACACGCAAAAAGAGTTGCATTACAGACAGTATTCAAGAAAGCCAGGAACTTATTGCAGCACTCTTGTTTATCTTGAGGAAAACTGGAGAAACAAAATATCTTATCGACATCTTCCAAAAGAATAGATATTCACGAAACTTCGTCAAAAGACATTTGCCTCTAAGCCAACAAATCAAATCAAAGGTCCCCAATAAAAAAAAACAGAGAAAATCATCTTACTATATAAATAAACAATTTCTCAAGACTAATCAAACCTTTAAGAATTGATTTCGTACACTAACCAACAGAATCATATAATTAGGATGGTTCTATGTCAACCAAAAGATATAGAAGGAACATTAGCGCAGAGTAGCATGAATACACTTTTGCCAGATGACTAGAGGCAGTAAGCAGGTAGAAAGTCCCACCTATACACATTAGGTTTCGTGCTTGTTGGCACTCACCAGTCATTTATGGCAAGGTGTATCTGATACCGCCTTGAAGGAATTAATCACATCCCTTATCAGATTCGAACCCGGGTCACTCAGTGCTGCAATCAGAGACACGTTACCACTGAGCTATTCAGCCTAGCAATTTAACCACCTCTTCGGGTCTGTAATGGATATTTCGATGATTAGGTACTGTAGGTTACAGGGAGAACGCTTATACAAGTCTAAAGATAAATCTAGTCTGAGAAGGACTAACATCTTGATCAAACCTGAAATACAAAGTCTGAACATTATTTATTACCAACGACTTTTGTTATATAAAACTTCCCCAAACATGTGTATTATTATTATTGCTCCCTTGGGTTCCTAGTGGAACATAGGGCTTCAGCTGCACGTCTCCATATGCTTCTGTCTCCTGCTGTACTTTTCACCTGCATCCGTGTTAGTCCATACTCTTTCAAATCCTCTTCACACGATCTCCTCCATGTCACCCTCGCACTGACGTCCCACTCGACGCGTCCCTTTCGGGTTCCACTCGAGCAATGGCTTGACGCGCGCACGATGTCACCCACCGGCCTCCTCAGCGAGTGTCCAATCCATCTCCGCTTTCTCCTGCATATTTCTTGGTTGGCGATTGGTCCTTGTTTTGTTCCTTCCCATAGTTTCTTGCTGGTGATTCTTTCCGGCCATCTGATCTTCAGTATAGAGCGAAGACAGTTGTTAATAAAGGTCTGCAACCTTTCGGAAATATTCTTCGTGACCCACCCGCCAAGTTTCTGATCCGTATAGAAGAACTGACTTTACGTCCCCAAACATGTGGAAACTCTTTAATGAAATTTACTAGTAGTGATAAGCAAAGTATCACTGTTCCCTTTGTTTGATGTGAATACTCTTAAAAAGTTCTTCACGTATTCTTCTACTGACGTTATCATCCATAATGCTACAAATAATAAGGCTAATGACTTCGGTGGTCTAAACATTGTTGACGTCCTCAAGTGTCTGAAATTTTTAAAACCTTCCCAAAGCCATGGTGCTGATGGTGTACCTGCTGTTGTCCCCAGAAGATATGTGGATATTTTATGTTATCCTATTATAAACATTTTCAATATCTCCT